GCCGGCTTCACTCCGGTCTCCTATTCTCTCCTCGCCGTCCCTAATTTTGCTTTCTCGCCGCGCTTTCCCGGAGATGCAAGCGTTCTTTTCCGCTCTTGCCACCGGAGAAGCTTGAGGCCGGAAGTATTAGGGTTTTTTTCGTCGAACGGCGATTTTCCTTCTTTTGTTTTATTTATCCGAACGGATTGGAGCTTGCTTATGGCGGGAGAGAATCGGAAAGATCGAGGTGTTTCGTCTGAAGTCGCGATTCCCTCCGGTTTGAACCGGATCAAGACTCGGTTAGCTTCGTCAGGTCCGAGACCTGAAGATTCCTCCGATTCCGTTCCGCAGCCTCCTTTAAACCGCACGCAGAAAACTATTGTTCCTCGTAGAACCACTGGCTCTTCCAAAAAAGGTTTTGATTTCTCTCATAGTAATTATGTTGACTCGGTTTCAGAGAATCATAATTAGAGGATGTGCTTGGATTTCAGAAATTCTATACACCTCGAAAATTCTATATTGATAAGATTTCTTGCTGGTGATCACTTGTTAGGAGTCTCGTTTTTAACTCTCTGTTTCATCATTTTGTTCACCAGAGCGTAAAGGAAAAAAGTTGTCGAGGTGGCTTGCTTCATATAAACCCAAACATTCTGGAAACCCTCCCAAAGATGGTTGCTCTAGTAGTGAGGTAAGTAGTGGTTTTGTTTTTGATGTTCCATTAAAAGGGTTTCGATTGGAGCAGTGGCTTTGGATTAACTGTCTTGTTTTGGTACAGGGTGTTAACTTAAAAGTCAAGACCTCTCGTAAAGACGAGGAGAGGATGATCAAGTTATCTGAAACTAACCTTCCCTCTAGCAAGGTGTCAATGGGTATAAAGAGCTTTTCACATGAATTAGGGCCAAGGGGTGGTGTTCAAACTTCCCACCCTCGCCCGCACAGCTACAACGATCTGAAGGTGCTCCCTCTTGCCGTTATATTTTGATGATTTTGGTATTGTCTTTTATTTCTTTAATTGAGTTTGAAGATGTGACAATATTTTGCTAGATAGATTGATGAAGCTTTTCGAGGTTGATCTAAAATTTTCAGAAATAAGTATATATGTGTGCCATATAACTATCGTAATGGCTCGATTTATTTTTGCTTGGCTAACTAATTCAGGAACTTCTGGGCTCACTTCACTCGAGATTTGATGTTGCTAAGGAGCTTGTAGATAAGAAGCTAGATGACTTTGTCATAGATGTGGAAGAGGCTATAGAGAAAATAGACCCATCATGCCCTGAAGATCGAGAAATGACAGAGGAATTACTTAATTTGGCTCAAGCCTGTATAGAGATGACATCTGCTCAACTTCGTGCTACTTGTGAATCTATTGTCCAAGACTTGACTAGGAAAAGGAAACAGTGCCAAGCAGGACTTGTGAAGTGGTTGTTTTCTCAGTTGCTTTTTATATTGACTCATTGTACAAGGGTTGTGATGTTTCAGAAGGAGACTGAGCCAATTGATGAGAGCTCCTTCCGAAAATTTAAGGAATGTTTAGAAAGCATCCCTGCTGTGGAAACAAGTTGGGTTTCCACTGCTAGAGTGGCTGATTGTGGTTCCGGCTGTCATAGGAACGAAGCTGGACAAAATCTCAAGACGCGAGATAAAGAATCTTTGGACTCAGAGACTACTTTTGGTTATGCTATACAAGATGATCAGAGAAATAATGCTGCTAGAGAAGGTTATGCCGCTTCTAAACAGGGACGTCGATCGCAGAAACCCCTATATGATAGTAAAGTCGTAGAACAAAGATTTTATTTAAGTGATGAGTATCAAGATAAGATGCCAAATGAGCCTGGAAAAGAGTTATGTGGATCTGATTCTGTAATCTGCAGGATATGTGAGGTAGAAGTTCCTCTCTCCCATCTGGAACCGCACTCTTACATATGCGCATATGCAGATAAATGTGAAATAAATTGTTTGGATGTTGATGAGCGCCTTTTGAAACTTGAGGAGATACTGGAACAGATTATTGATTCACGAAGTTTAAACTCCTTTGCGCAAGCTGGTGGCTTGGAAAACTCAGTTTTGCAGAACTCTGGAGTGGCATCTGAAGGTTGTTCTCCTAAGATGAATGAATGGCGTAATAAAGGTGTTGAAGGAATGTTTGAGGATCTACACGAGATGGACACCGCTTTCATAGATGAGTCTTACACATATCCTATTAATCTGAAGAGCCATGTAGGGGCTAAATTTTGCAATCATGGCACATCATCATCAACTGGTAGCATCACATCAGTATCTTCAACAAATACCCCCAGAACAAGTCACTTTGACTCTTATTGGCTAGAACGGCATAGTCCAGAGCAAGAGGATCTTCAACTGGTTGGTTGTTTGTTTCCACTTGATTCCCTTTTTGGGCAGATTAAGTATTGCTACTGTGCCATGCTGTATCTGTTCTTATATTTTTATTTAGCATATCCTGATGAGTTCCGGATCGGTTAATTCAAACCAGTCATGTGCTGTTGCCAGAGTCTTATAATCCTTGATGTTTTTAATTAACATAACTTTAGACGCTTATAAAATTTGGGGAGTTTTAGTGATGCCATTATAATATATTTTGTTGGGTTGAGATTTTCTCCTCTTTTGCTATAGCGTACCTAGAAACGTCATTAGATTGTTGATTTGTTACTTGACCACGGCGGTCTCTGTGCTCCATCCGAATCACATAGATAGCATTTTCTTTTACCTATATCCCTGAATTTAGAAGCATAATCCATTCTTGCTTTTTTTTCTTTTCATCTTGTAGATGATGGATCTTTCAGATATTGCCCGCTGTGGAGCAAGCACAGATATCTCCAAAGAGGGATCTTTTGACTATTTGCTTGCCTGCATGCAAGACGTACAGGCTGTTTTGAAGCAGGGCAAGCTTAAAGCACTTGTAATAGATACTTTTGGTGGGCGGATCGAGAAACTTCTTTGGTAAATTCACTGTATTATAAAATATTAATTTCTGAGCTCATCCTATAATTAATATTAACTCCGATCTTATCTGCAGCGAGAAATATATTTATGCTTGTGATTTGAATGCTGATAAAAGTTCAATGGGTGACGTAAAAGATAGTGAAACTGTCGTGGAGCATGCATCCCAAGGGTACTCAGTGACTACACCACATTTACTTCAAAAAGATAGGACAAGCATAGATGACTTTGAGACTATCAAACGAATAAACAGAGGGGCCTTTGGTAAAGTCTTTCTTGCGCGCAAAAGAACAACAGGGGACTTTTTTGCCATTAAGGTAGCTGTATTTTCTTTTTGCTTTGTTGCAGATATGGTGTATGTTTTGCCTTCTTTATGTTCTATTAGGAGTGTGGTGCAAACCATAGAATTTAAGGATAAGATGTCAATTTTTACTCGAAAACAGTTGGCCTCTATGGCTGTTACAGATGAAGAATTGATGTAACAGAAGACGATATGTTTGCAGAGAAGTTGATATTAAGGAAGCTTTGCTGAGACTAAGATAGAATTAACCGTCTCAGGAAAGATACTGAAGCCTACTTTCTTGCTTCAGTTAGACATTAATATTTATTTGTTTGTATACGCATATATACATTCGAACCATGTAAGTAGCTGATTTATTATCTTTAATTTTCTGATTGATTTGACCAGATGATTCTGTAACCTCTCTTTAGTGAAAGAGTAGCTTTTTTACTCGAATTTTAGACAGCCTAGTTGTTGGTGCCATATTTTAAAACGTCTCAGAACGATGATACTCTTAGTGTTTAAATTTTTTTTTTGTAAATGATATTTACACTTGAAAGCTCCTGGAAGTGAATCAGACTACCAATCCTGGCCCCTTATATATTATCTGATTGCACTATTATTCATTAGTTGAACTGAGTCAGCTTCTCCATGTGCTAATCTTATTTGTTGAATATACAGGTACTGAAGAAGTTGGATATGATAAGGAAAAATGATATTGAGCGGATATTGGCAGAGCGAAATATACTAATAACTGTCAGAAATCCCTTTATGGTAAACGTTTAACTTCTTTGGTACTGTCTAACTTATATATTTCTTCCCAAAGGCTGAACATTTGATCTTATTTCTGCAGGTTAGATTTTTTTATTCGTTTACCTGCAGAGATAACCTCTACTTGGTAATGGAATATCTTAATGGGGGTGATCTATACTCTCTGCTCCAGAAAGTTGGCTGCCTTGAAGATGACGTTGCTCGTATATACATTGCGGAACTGGTTTGTTGAAGGCTTTATACGTGTGTGAATACCCAATTTAGTTGGAGTCTTGAATAAACAATTATCATTTATTTCAGGTTCTTGCATTGGAGTACCTCCATTCTCTGAAAATTGTGCACCGTGATCTAAAGCCTGATAACCTGTTAATCGCTCATAATGGGCACATAAAGGTCTGTTGTTTAAGCCCTCAAGTACCTAATATTTCCTGCCACACTTTTACCTCGATTTAAAATCCTCAAACCTGAGTTCTGTCTTTGTTCTGCTATTTAACCATCGAACTTATTATTATTTTTGTCACCAGCTAACAGACTTTGGGCTATCAAAGATCGGTCTTATAAACAACACAATTGATTTATCTGGACATGAGTCAGATGCAACGCCAAGAACAACTTCTCATCATTTTCTAAAGAGCCAAGAAGAAGAAAGAGTTCGGCGTTCCGCTGTTGGGACACCTGACTACTTGGCGCCAGAAATCCTTCTTGGAACCGAACACGGTTTGGATACAGCCTTAACAATTAGACTTTCGAGTATGAGGAAATTATATTTATCATATTGTTGTTGCTTTCAGGTTATGCTGCGGATTGGTGGTCTGTGGGAATCATCTTGTTTGAACTGATAACTGGAATCCCACCTTTTACAGCATCCCGCCCAGAGGTGCCTACTTATTTTAGTTAAAAGCTGCATGTTTTTGCTTGAATTAAATTTTGGTCTTGACCTGCCAGCAAGTTTTGAGATCATAAAAGCGTAGTGGTATCATAACTATACATTTTGATAATTGGTAGTCCAATGTAGCTTAGGCATCTTAAACATTTAAAGGTGATTATGGTTTTGTTATTTTTGAGGTGTTGTTGCTTTATTAACCTTTCACAATAACACTGAGGATTCCGTACGCATATATCTTATTAAACCATAGTAGCTATGTATTGTTTTCTTAGCAAAGGATTTGAAAGATTCATTTGGTATCATTTAAATTGAGATGAGCTCTACACATAGTCTAGCTTCAAATGAGTGTGGACTCACCTTTTTAATTGTGCTGTACAGATAATATTTGACAACATCCTCAACGGAAAAATTCCGTGGCCAGATGTGCCTGGTGAAATGTCATATGAAGCTCAGGATTTGATTAACAGGTCTGTTTTGGCTTCAATTCGTGAACTTTTTATTTTTTTATTTTTTCAACAACATGACCTCCATTTCATATTTAGAAGCTAATTATAGATCAAATATAGCCTCCGCCTTTGTTTTTTCTTCTTATAGAGGATCCTCTAACTGCAATCCCGCTCCTGTTTTCCTCTCATTGGTCTTTCCAGCAGTCCTATTCATGTTTATCTATGTAAATGAGTAGATACCTATTATAGATTCTGCTTATTGTGGTTACGTACTACATCATCTCGTTTATAGACTTTACTCTGCCAGGTGTTTAGGAGTTGTTACATTGGGGTACTGGTTCAAAATAAGTATTATAATCATATTTTCTATGTTCACTGTGTAGGTTTGATGTGTTACTAGTTTCTATTAATCTAAGTTCATTTTCTTTCCATAATAGGTTGCTTGTCCATGAGCCAGAAAAGCGACTGGGGGCTAATGGGGCTGCAGAGGTTCCGTCAATTTTCCTTTTACCTATTATTAAAGCCATAATAGTGAGAAGCAAATGGCTTCTAAATGCATGCGACAACAGAAGAATACTGTTGTTGTGGTCATTACTAACTAAAAGTCTCAGTAATAGCTCTGGTCTCATTTTCAGGTTAAGGCACATCCCTTCTTTCAAGGAGTTGACTGGGAAAATCTTACTGTGCAAAAGGTAAGAACACGACTGGGTACCTCTTTTTGCATTCAAGACATTTGATAGACAAATAATGCAAAAAAAATAAATGTTAGTTGCTGGATGAAGAAAGAAAAGAGTAAAAAATAAAGCAGAAGTTGTTTGATCGAATTGAACTTTTGCAATTAAGTCTTCACGAATGCACGATATGAATGAGGGGGGTGAACTTCTAAAGTCTAGCTGCGTTTCTTTTCCTCTTGCTATTTGGTAGGCTGCATTTGTACCGCTGACAGAGAGTATCGTTGACACAAGCTATTTCGTATCACGGTTCAGTGAAAAGAGTTGCAGCGATTCTGACAGTGACAACAACAGCGAATCATATCCAAATTCAGGAGATGAGGTAAACATCTAAGAAAGTTGCATCCTTTTCTCTCTAGGTACCCACAAGAAAGAAACCATCAAAATCTATAGCAAAATTGTTAAGTCATTGTTTTGTGTTTTTATTTTTTAGTTGGATGAATGCACCAACCTGGCGGATTTTGATTCTCCACCTTATTATCTCTCCCTCATTAACTTTTCGTTCAAGGTAAAGTCACTGCTTCCACCTTTTTCTTGTTATGAATTTACACAAAAGACAGCTAAAAAACCGTAATTTAATTGGATTGAACATGTCTTGGGAAAGCCTTGTAGAGACAACTAGAGAGGGGGAATCATAATGTCTGTGTTGGGATAATAACTGTTCAAATATAAGACAAGGTTCGTTAAAAGTGAATATTATGGTGCAGAATTTGTCACAATTGGCTTCAATCAATCATGATGTGCTATTGCAAAAGGATCCAGCCAAAGGAGGAGGAGGCTCACCCTTTAAAAGTCATGGAACGTAGAGCTTTGCTACAACCGTCAAAGCAGGCCTTAGTCTTTCCGCGGTCATGCCTGGTTTGACTGTTGTAGCTGCTGCTGCTACTATTCTTATCTCTTTTTCTTTTCTGCTGCAATTGTTACCTTATAGGTTTTGGGTAATTTTTTTTTTTTAAGTTGTCGTAAGATCATTTGAAATCATTTCAAATGCAAATCCCAAAACTGATCGTGTGGTAACAACACAGCATATTTAATATATACAAAGCTGTATCAGCTTGTGTATTGAGGTTGATCATTAAAGTCGTATGGTCTTGCATGTAAGTTATACAGGGAAGTTAAATAATAGAATCTAAGACTTGGCTTTGGTTGGTGAATTATGGCCACTTCCCCATATCAGAAAACACCTCTTCTACGGCAGAAGTTCTGCCTCAACCTCGCCAATGTCATATAGTAAGATTATTATTGATAATTGATGTCTTTTCTTTTTTTCCTTCAACTTGACAATCAAAATAAAGTGCCAAAAGGGTAATATAGTCTAGAAAAACATACTCTACAAATGAACCGACCGGTACGGCATGCAATAGGTCCTAGGAATCATCAGTATATCATCTAACCATTATCGGTTGGAGTTGACTCACTGCTGGTTATGGATCGAAGCAGCAGCTTTGAAAGCTTTGTCTTTTTCGAAGCTTTACAATAGCAACATATTGTGCAACAAATACTATTTTTGTGTCTACAGCAGGGAGAAAAAACGGTTTAGGGTATTGAATTACGGCTACGAAAGAGTGGTCTTTCAAGAGAAAGCGCAGTATAAAAAGGTAATAAGCAAAAATGTGGCCAAATATTAGAGTCTACACGAGAAACTGGTAAACTAAAGCTAAACTTTCATTCCCAATTGATGTTCGCATGAAATGCAATGAACATAAAGAATTTAATACTCAATGAATTTGAAGTCAATTTAGCTATGTTCAAACCGATCATTTATATAAAAAGATTGTGATTACATTTTTGCAAGGTGATTTTTACCAGAGCTTATCATAAAAATCAATGTCCAAGAAAGCGTAGACGCTAAGCGGACAGTGATCCAACGCCTATTGCCTAGAACGCCTAATCGGAGCCTAGGCGGTATAAGCATTTTACAAAAATACATAATATATTAGATATATATAGTAAAATATATAAAAAAACATAATTTATGAATAAAAAATTTATATTTTATTATATTCATCATTTTATAGCAAAATATATAAAATATTACGATTTATATATAAGAAAAATTATATTATATTATTATTATAATACTATGATATTTTAGACGGCATAAGCGGTAATCTCCATGGTCCATGAGGGCCTAGCGCCTAAGCGCCGCCTAGACGAATGCCTAGAATGCTTTTTAGAACACTGATAAAAATACAAAATTTGCGGGTTTGGTTATTTCTCCAA